AAATAAAAATAATAATAAGAAGAAATACAGAACTACACATTTTTAAATTGATATAAATTTCGGATTACGTTTCAAACAGCCCTCGCCCCATAATCAAAGTTCGCTTGGCTGCGAACAAATCTCAATGAAACGCGAGTTGAGGCAACTAAATTATGCATAAAGTGAAAATTTCAATGGGATATTGTAAATTCCCTCAGCTGTCGTTCGGTTAATTATACTTGTTCCTCTTCTTCAATAGTTTGAGTTTTTTTTTTATTATTATTCATGCTCTGGCATAATTGTTGTAATTACTCAATAAAAATCAACGAATGTGGCCAACGCAACGCATAGGCCCACTCGAGTCGCGCGACTCGCGCGTTCACATAGAGTGCGTAATGTCTTCGTTGCTTTGTCGTTTGCCTTAATTATTAAATTGGTCAAAGTCTTGGGGGGTGGACGGCAGGAAGAAGCAGCACTTAAACCTAATTAACTTGTCGGCTATTCAATGGCCACTTAAAGAGCGAGCTTCACGCTTAACTTTTTAACCCACTCAATTTGCGTTGGCTTTGCTTCTTCTTTTTTTTATTCTTCTTTGTTTTTGCCCACCTGGATGAAGTTGCAGTTTTTGTTTGGATTTCAATTTTGCATAAAATCGGATTCTGCATTTATCGATGACGATGCTTAACTATATATATTTGGGGGCGAATGAATTTCATTTTTGTGCTTAAAATATTGATCATAAATATTTGCTACCATTATCAGTGCGCTGCAGCTCCCTTCACTCTTCTCGTCTGTATTATTTAACGATTTATTTTCATGCCCGGAACCCATTGAAAATGTGAAATTTTAGGTATATTGGCATTCTGCATGACTATGTGACAGAACGCAAGAAGGCGTGGCAGATTAGAATGATTAATTAGGATTATGTGTTGAGTCGACCTAACCAACTATCCATATTTCTATCTATATTATAATTTTTAATATTCTCAAATCATCTCATTTCCGTACAATCGATAAATATCGATTGTATTATTATCCATCCGTATTTATTTACTATCGATATCTATCGATAATTCGTTTTGCTTTCTTCACCACTAATGCTGGGGGTGGCAAGCTGAGTTTGTAGATTTCGGTGTTGTTTACACTTAAAAAAATGAGCATGCTTTAAACAAGATGAAAAACTACTCATTAATTCAGTTCCCATGGTTAAATCGAACTACAAGTCTATGTCCCATCACATGTGTACGTATCTGTGTATGTATATGTGTGCATATAGAAATTGATAAAACGTGGACTTTTCTCAACATACAGGGTATCTGCTAGTCGGACACTGCCGACTAGAGCACAGTTTACTGCCTTTTTTGTTGCCCTGTGCAATGTATAACAGTTGTCTACAGTTGCGCCGCAAGCCATACAATATACCTTACACACACCTACACACGTACACGTACACGTACACACATACTCACACAGTCGTGGAGCACTTAATATCTTAATGTAAAATTGAAAAAGGAAAAAGCACGCGAAAAAGGTTTTATTGTAATTTTATGCACTTATTTACATAAGCGGAGTTAAAATGGTTGCATCATATGAAATAATTACATTATTACTTCTGCTGCGATTCGAATTGCGTAAGTGACGACAACAGCAACAACAGCAAAAGTTGCTTGCAGCCTGACAATCGCCATTTTTACAAAATATATGTGTGTATAAAAAAAAATGGCAACAATGAAAAATGAAAATTAAAATGAAAATGAAACAAAAATAAAATGAAGAGAAAACATTTGCCAAGTATGCGACTCAATAAATAATTGAGAGCTGCTGCCGCTGCCGGAGTTTTTAATGTCATTGTGAACGAGGGCGTTGGCGTTGGCGTTGGCATTGGCGTTGGCGTAGGCGTGGCAGCAGCTACAAATAAAATAAATTGACCTTGCGTATAGTGAAAGATGTATTTCAGTACAACAATTTGGAATTGCAATCATATTTGCGGAATGTTTGTGTGCATATTCTGTTTTATTCCCAAAATTCCATTGGTAAAGTTAATTCATGTTAAACGTGTATTGTTGCATGCATGTCAAGCTTATTGTGTTTCATTCCAACATGCCACTAATTGTAATTGCAGGCGCTTGAATAAGAAATATCATGTTCCATTACAAATTTCCTATGGAATTAATGTTCCATTCCATCATTCCACTACAACATATGTCAAATTCTTTAAGTGGGGCAAAAATTTGTATAGATTTTTATGCAGCTATGGAAATAACAAGTTCCATTCCAACATTCCACTACAGAATATAACAAATAATAATTGGATTAATTTTGTAGAATTTTTTTTTTTTTTTTGGGTACTAAATATGTAATAGCATAATCCATTCCGACATTCCACTAAGAATACTAATTTAATGGAGCTGTAGCAATTTGTATTTCTCTTATATTATTTAATAAATATTGAGTAGAAAAGTATTTAATTATAATTGCACGTAACTAATTTTCACTGTATGTTTCATTCAAATAGTTCACAAGAAATTATAGATAAATTAATCGAAAGTAAATATCATAATATCTATTTGTACAGCCACATACATATATACAGACATTATAAATTCGAATCGGAAAACCTAATCTAACAGCAAATTGTAATGTATGAGAATTGAAACACATATTAAGTGTATCATTCCACAATTCCGGAACACACATACTCATAAGTGACTTAATATTGTGAATTGTAAAATTTGTGTATTTACCTAAGTAGCCAATGAGATTATGGCGTTGCCAGATGGTTGCATTAATATTGATATTATCCTTGGCTACTTTGTGTATGTCAATATTGAAGTATTGTTTGTGGGCGCATATAGCGCACAACAAACAAATATTGGCACACACACACACACTGTCATACACACCAACACCTACGCACACATACATTCACACACTTGAGTGTGCATGCATGCTTAGCCACGTATTTGCCATTGAGTTGAACACACACACACACACTCACACACACACACGCACAGCCACCACGAAATTATCCACACCTTGATGCATGATTTGCGTCTCAGTTTGCCAGAATACTCAACATTCGATCCACATCATCCATTCACAGCCTCCGCCCCAATAATGGAGCAGCCGCCGCAGAACGTAACCGCACTGGATGGCAAGGATGCAACCATATCCTGTCGGGCCGCCGGCGCACCGAATCCAAACATCACCTGGATCTACAATGGTGAGTGAGGAGCAGCACATGCATATTTGATTATCGATATGAACACACATTTATGAGCGTATTCATAAAATATGCAATGAATGTTTTTCCCCTGCTGTTGCCTCTGTTTTTTTTTTTTTTTTTTTTTTTTTTTGTTTACATATTTTATTATTTTCGTATGCTAACCCAACTGACTAAACTGCTAACTGTAAACTGCTGCAACTGTGCCACAACTGTAACTGCAACTGCAACTGCAACCCGCTTGCTTTATCGTCGGACTCCTCCCCCGCCCGTTAATTTTAACAACATTAGAAACTCAATTGGTCGAGCTATCGAGCCGTGTTCAAATACTCGAATCTGGCGATTTACTCATCTCAAGCATTCGCGCCGCCGACGCGGGCCTCTACATCTGTGTGCGGGCCAACGAGGCGGGCAGCGTCAAGGGCGAGGCCTATCTGAGCGTACTGGGTAAGTAATCGAATGTCGGTCGGTGGGCCGAGCTACAGAGCTACAGAGCTATAGAGCTGCAGAGATAACTCCCCCAATCAAAACTAATTGCATATACACATCTATATCTTTTGTGTCTGCTCAACCGGATGCTGGGCCAATGGAATGCTAACTAATATAATTTAGATATGCGAATTTATATATTTGCAACTGCCTAGCTAACCCCGTTTAATTGAGCTAACTGAGCTAGAACATTTTCTGTTGCACCCATTAATTAAATCAAATTCATGCAACTAAACTCCTAGAGAGCGAGCTTAAAATAACAAGAGATATTGCCAGGTCTTGCTATAGTTATTTTCGGGACATATGGGAAATTGCATGAGAGAGCTACCTATCAGAGGGAAATAGGTAGGAAAAGCATGGGAAAATGTATGGCGAATTTAATCGAGAGTAATATAACGTAGAGAACAAAGATTTTGAGGAGCATATGAGATAATATATATATAAGATATTCCCCTGGGAGATGGATAGATGAATGAGGAAAAGCCTGAGCTGCGTGAGCATATGAATGATATTACTACAATTGAAGACTTGGAATTGAGTACAACTGAAAGATATTGCAGTTCTAATTGGATTGATTGAATGATCATAAAAACTTAATGATCGTGAGAGAGCGTACAAGGCATATTATCAGAAGATAAGAGAAGAAGAAAACATAAAACAAGATCTTTGGTATATATCTCTTATATTCTTTAAGCTATATCGGTATGAGGAAGTCACAGAGAAATTGATTAGTTGAGATTACGCTGCTGCTAAATGTATGTGGAAATGCATTTAAGCTTGTTCATGCAAGTTTGCTTGATGCTTTTAACACACACACACACACACACACACACATACACGCACGCACACGCACAGTTACACACAGCGACCACAGCAATGGAAAGAGTTAATAATATTAGTGCCCAGGAGCTGCCGCAATTGCAAATTGTCAGCGATGCAGCATGCGGCAAAGTGTGGCAGCAACGGCAGCACCATAAAAACCAACCAAGACTGCGCCACAAGCAGCTGCGTGGGTCGCGGGTCGCGGGTCAAATCAGCTAAAACTCTATTGGCACCAACATAATGCATTATATTGCCATCAAAGCCGCAGCCAGAGGCACAGCCACAACCATAACCACAGCCATAGCAACAGCAGCAACAACAATGACAATGACAGTGCCAATAGCATTAGCAATGACGATGACAATATCAAGCAGCTATGACAACAATAATAATTGAGTTTTTTAGCGCATTGTTGTATTTTGAATGCAATAAAGCAGTCCGCAAGCCTGGCTTTTAACTGCAGCTAGAACGACTCACTAAAAGGCCACATCAATGTCGGCTAATTGGCAAAGCGGTGCAGCTGAGCTGCATCGTACATCGAGCTGAAGCGAGTATATACGTGCGTGAGCCTAATGAAGATTTGAAATGTGAGGAATATATAATATATAATGTATAAGGAATATGCAATATGAAATATGAAATATAAAATTT